TCAGAAGTGAATTCGGAGGCCCGTAGGTCATTTTGAAGCTATTTGGCTAAAGATAGAAATTTGAAGGTTTTTGAGAAGTTTGACCGGAGGTTGGCTTTATTGATATCGGGGTCGGAATCCAATTCCGAAAGTTGGAATAGGTCCGTAATGTCAAATATGACTTGTGTGCAAAATTTGAGGTCAATCGGACGTGATTTGATAGGTTTAAGCATCGGAAATAGAAGTTGGAAAGTTCAAAGTTCATAAAGCTTGAATCGGGGTGTAATTCATGGTTTTGGCGTTGTTTGTTATGATTTGAGGCCTCGAGCAAGTCCATAATGTGTTTTGGGACTGGTTGGTATGATTGGTTGGGGTCCCCGGGGCCTCGGGTGGATTCCGGGTGGTTAANTGTCCGCAAATGCGGAACCGCATAAGCGCAATATTTCAGCAAAAGCGGAAATGACTGGGGCAGTGAGGATGTTTTAAGTTCGGGGTTGAGCTCATTTAAACCCCATTTTTCTTCCACTGGAGTCGATGGGGAGCAGCTTGGGGACGCCATTTTCGTCACTTGTCCTGAGGTAAGTAATTTATGCTAGCCTTGAGTTAAATACAAGGTTTATACATGGATTTAGGCATGAAAATTAGTATAAAAATTGGGGTTTTGGTGGAAAACCTAGAAAATCATATTCTTGGAATTTAGCCACGATTTTGAGTATGGAATTAAGAGAAAGTTGTATATTTGAGTTCCTAAGGTCATGGGTAACCTTTATCTTAGAAAATTTTGGATTCCGGGCACGTGGGCCCGAGGGCGTTTTGGGCAACTTTTTGATCGGGGTTAGGAATTGTTATAAATTGGATTGTAATGAGTACCTTAGCATATATTAATGGATTTGTATCGCCATTGGCTAGTTTTGGAGCTTTGGGCGTCGGTTCGAGCCTCTGGAAGAATGTAGAATGTCGATTATGGATCTTCGGAGCGAGGTGAGTCTCCTTTCTAATCTTGTGAGGGGGAATTTACCCCATAGGTGAAGTGAATGATTATGTGCTCCTATTTGTGGGGGCTACGTACGCACGAGGTGACGAGAGTCCGTGCGTAGCTACTATTATGCTATTGTCCGGGTAGTTTGGACCCATCAGCATGTTATACTTGAATTAATTATGAACCCATTGATGACTTGGATTGTTTAAATCACCTTTGATTAGTAAACGAATTTAAAAAGAGGTTAAACATCATTTCCTGAATTGTTAAACAGAGAATTGGCTTATTTGGATAATTATTCCTCGATAAAATTCTAGTTGGCTATCTGAGCATGTATCTTACGTGTACCCGCGTTGCATGGATGATTCGCGAGTGGGGTAATAAACCACATTAAATTAATAAATGGATTTCTAAAAAGACTTAAGCTTCGTTTTCTCAAATTATTAAAGAGAATTGGCCTTTCTTGGATAATTACTCCATGTTGACTTCTTGGCTGATTGTCTGTCTGTGTGTGTTCATTTTGGAACGGGCCGAATGCCTCGGCAGATTAATAGATGCATCTATAGGCACGCCGTCGACCCTCGACAAGTGCACATTTATTTCTGTTGGATCGGGCCGTCGCCTCGGTATGATTTGTGCATGCTTGTATTGCTGCCTGGACTTATTTAAATCGTTACATGCCTCACTCTGGCTCGAGATCACCTTATTAATAATGAAAAGAAATCTTGGAAAATTTCCTATGAAGGAATTACGTGTTTACTTGTTTCCTCTATCTGGATAAAAATCATGTTAGAAAATAAATCCATTGTTCGATATGTATATTGAGAATAAATAACCGTTGGACCATTAGAGTGTGTCAAAGTTGACCATCTCGTCTCTACCCCTTCGGGATTAGGCGGGACACTCACTGAGTACACGTTGATTACGTACTCATACTACACTTCTGTGCATTTTTGTTCCACAGGTTTATATACGCCTATTAGGCGTAGAAGCATGGATGATGCTGGGACTAGGTGAGCTGTATCATTGGGGCGACCGCAGCTAGAGTAGTTCCTTCCAATGTACTGTATTTACTTTCCGTCCACTGTATTCTGGGCAGATGTTGTTTTTTATTTCTCTTATCAGTAGTCGCTCATGTACTTGTGACACCGGGTTTCTGGGATGGTTTACAACGGATTTGTACTAATTGTTATTATTTAAATTTGAATCCTAGTAGTGAACTTTTATTTATAAAAATGGAAGGAAAAACCTTAGATTTTCAAAAGTATTAAGAGAAGAATTGATTGATAAGTTAGTTGGCTGGCCTGACAGAGGTGTCCGGCGCCACCACGACCCTTAGTGGATTTTAGGTCGTGACAATGCCCATAGGTTTTTCTGCACTTTGTAATAATACCATGGCAATAAATCGATAATGAAGCTCTGCATATTGTATAGATGATATGCCTATAGGACTTCATGCACTTTGCATATACATTTGTCATTAGGCAAGCCTGCTTATAGGAGTTAAAATAACTCATTACATATAGATAACCTACCTATAGGATCTTTGCTCAAAATCAGTTACACCTAGAAAGCATGCCTATAGGAACTATCAACTTAATCAGAATCGCCACTCGTTCCTAAGTTTAAAATCAGTGGCAATTTGTTTAACACTCGTAGAGCTTATAACTAATGACTTTTTTCAGTCCCTGGATTAATAGGTATCACGCTTATAGGCCCTGTTTAACTTACAAATAGTTAGATAATTAATCAACTGTCAGTTTTCGACAACTACATCTAAGCAGGACTAATTTGGACTCCCTATTTGGGAAATATGTGGTAAATCAATTCTTCCTACGCTAATTTTAATTAATGACCTAAATAGTATGTGTAAGACATGCTAAACAATTCGTTTCTTTAAGTGAAGAGGCCTACCTGAGCCTTTGATTGTTCTTATTTCCCCAATAACTGCTTTATGTGTTTTGTTTGTCGCCCTAGAATTTTATCCTTTTAAAACCCCTAAAAAGCCAAGCTCCCTCCCTTTAGGATTAGTAGTCCTAAACGCCTCCGGGACTGATAGGTGGGATGGGTAATAGCATGCAATAGGTAACGATACCATTCCGCGCTTAAATATCTTAACGGGGTGGGAAGGGTAGACATAGAGATGATGATCACATGATAACACTATGCGTACGATTGATTACCGGTGTTGTGTGGATGATCCATGTGTTTTACAAACCTAGGACCCCCTTTCCTTTATGTGACTTTGTTTAATATCAATAAAAATCTGTCTTTTCAACTACCCAAAACCCCTCTTTTATTTTACCGTATTATTCCTTTTTTTTCCTAAATAATTCTTCAATGTCTTGATTAATTTTCTGCATTCAAACCTTCCCTGAAAACAAATTGTAGATCATCTAGACCTTGATTCCAACATGCTTGTAACCCTTAAGTGTGAAGTTATTTGTATACTTATTTGCATTAAAGTCACAATATAGCATGGCCGGGAACCACACTAGTGGATCTTGAGGGGTGCCTAACACCTTCCCCTCGAGATAATTTCTAGCCCTTACCCGAACTCTGGTTTTCAAACTCAAAACCCTCAGTGTCCTAATGCACTTAGGTGGCGATTCTTCAATTCCAAAAACCCAATTCCCACACGGGAATAGAGTTGTCTTCTCAAATGTCGTAAACCCGATTTCGCGAGAAAAAAGGGGCGTCGACATATATTATTTTCATCATTAAAATTTGATCTAACACGTTAGTGTTTATTGTACTTAGACATACCTTGTAGTTGCTCGTGACTTGTGACACCCCGATGTCGGGCTTTTTTATTTTTCCGCACTTGTTATTTAAACCCATGTTATGAGATGTTATTAATTAATAGCTTAAAAATGTCTTTTATGAAATACTAGTGTAATTTGGGATTTGTGTCGGCTGGCCTAGTTTCACGATAGGCGCCATTAAGACCGGGTCGGCTTTAGGGTCGTGACAGATTGCGAGAATTTGGCGGGTTAACGGTGTGACAGTCATGGTATTTGAGAAGGAATAATCATTGTGCGCTCTACGTTGTGTGATGGTAGCTTAAAGCTAAGTGGGGAGTCCACCATCTACGACTGGATTGCGTGGTTTTCTGCTTGTGCAGTTTCATGTTATCGGTGTATTGGTGGGTTATTATGACTAAGGAAAGAGAACACCAGTGGTAATTCGAGCAAAGGATATGAGGAACGTGTGATGTACTTCGCCTTATCGGTTCTAGTGTAGGTTTTGGGAAGACTCAGAGTTTATGGTTCGTTTGGATGCGATGTACAAGGAAAAGAGTTCAGCCGGTTGTCTCTCTAAGAGGGTGTTCATGTGCTGGCAGAGATTTGAGTTTTATTATATTCGAGACCAGATCAGAGTGGGTGATTCTCAACAACGGTTCTAGTGGGTTCAAGAATTTTAGTGCGGTACCTAAGGATTTCGATTTCGTTGTGTGGTTAAGTATGGAGCTTTTATGCTGGGTTATGAAAAGGGACTTGGAGTGTCCTATGTTATCTTCGATCTGCGGTGCAGCATTGAAGAAATGAGAGAAAATAACTTTGGATTCGTAGAGGAACTATCAAAATGGGTGTACCAGTTGAAGATGCTATTGTGCGCATAAGGAGGGTGTGAGATGGTTGTTGAGTATTGAGACGATGTGGTCTCATGATTCGGATCTCTTGAGATTGAATGTAGATTGAGTTCGTCATATTTTGAATGGAGCTATTATTATTTCTAAAGCAAGTCCATAGTAAATTAGAAGAAGTTGGTTCTGTTAGCAATGGTTGAATCAGCATGATTGTGGCAATGATTAATTCTTTCAGCATGTTAGCGTCGGCTTGCCTTGCAACTAGATGTTAAGCGCCATCTCAATCCCGAGGTTGGAATTCCGGGTCGTGACACGAATCCTTGTAATTTTGGACAGTGACAATACTACATAAGTACATATATAAACCTTAAAGAGGTAGACTAAATAATATGCTAGTATGGTATTCGAAAATGTATGAGATTATGGTGGAGACGACTAGAAATTCCTTCAATATAGCCGGACATGAAAATTTCATAATATCTTACATATACTGATCATTGAAAATACATCCATAGAAGGAGACTGGCATACATCACACGACATTATTTATTTCACACGCTAGAACTAGCCAATATCGCCAAATAGTCATCACACAGACACTCACAGTATATGTATATATATATCTTTTATATCTTGAGAAGGTGGGCATCTACATCTTTGGTCACATCAAGGAGTAAACCCATGAAAACGAGGGGCTCAGGGGTGTCTTCAGTTTTCTTCTCGTACACAAATGTCCATGTAGTCCATTGATCTTCGCAGGATGTGATAATAGTGAAGTAATTATACAACTCTAACAAATCTCCTTCAATCACTTTCCAAGTGACTGATTTCTTCTGATGATCGAAGGCTTCAATTACTTCCTTGACAATCTTTTCTTTTTCATCTATAATCATTAAAATTCAAAAACACAATAGATGTTATCCATAATTTAATAGTCCAATTCCTCATAAATGATATAAAAATTCATGAAAAACTATAGATTTGATTATACTGTGTTTGGTATGACTGAAGCAAATTTTTCATGAAAAAAGTTTTGTTCTGCAAATTATTTGAAAAATATTCTCTAATTTTTGATTGCTGAATGAATTTTTTTGTTACGGAAAACATACATAAAAGACTGATAATAATAATATTTAAAATATATAGATCTTTTAATTTGATAAAAAATTTGAGTGCTAAAAATTTATAATAACGTCTGATGATTAATTGGAGCAAGTAGAAGAAAGTTAAAGTTAAAGATAGTTTGTAATAATTTTCCCTAGACGAAATGACTTCCGTCTAAAGAAGCTATTTTTCTTTTTTTGATGCAAAATGTCTTTCTCGGAATATATTTATGGTAACCAAACATCATGAATATCAAATACACCTAATTATAGAAAATTGATGCATATAAGGAGAGCGGGGAAATGTGCGTTACCCTCGTTGTATTTCCAGCTAACGATCGAACCATGCTTTACGATTTGACCTTCATGAATCTCAAAATGGTTGATCTTAGTAGGGCTTATGTTGGGTATATGGTGAGTATTAACGTGAAAAATATCATGAACAAAGTCTCCTCCGCACTTCATCTCTATTGAAGCAATCAACTTGCCTTTCACACCCATATTTTCTTCTCCTCAAATATAGCAATAAGTTGTGACAAGATAGTGGTGAGAAAATGTTCAATACTTGTAGTCTTTATATAGATTTTAGTTAGATGTGAAAAGCTAGCTACTAAAAACCTTTATCCACCACATATCTATATCATACATGTAAAAAAGCAATATCTTTATTAGACAAGTGATCAAGTTTTAGTTACCAATAACAACAAAACCAATGTAATCCCACAAAGTGAGGTCCGGAAGGGTAAGGTGTCGCGGACTTTAAGCCTACCTTGTGAAGATAGATAGGTTGTTTTCGATATACCCTCGACTCAAAGGAAAAATGAAAAAGAAGAAGACACAACAAATAGTAGCAACATTATGATAAGGTGATAAGAGTGTTGCATGTGTTTTCTACCCGTAAAAAATTGTATAGAAGAAAAATAAATTATTGTAAAATAGCAATTGATCTTAAAATAACTTAACATTTGTTTAAATGATGAAAATAAATATTATTACATTGACATTGTAGCTGATTCAATATCTTTTGAACATGCAAAGATAATGAATTTGATTAAGTATTTGTATTATAAATATTCTATTATATGAGATATAAATATTCTAATTGTTGTATTTCACCTAATATTTCTTTATAAACGATATCCTTGGTATATGTTTCCCTTCCGACGCTTTAGTGCTCTATCATGATTAAAAGTTGTTGTTAAGGTTGATATCTATTTTGAAAGTGCGATATATCATTGTCTACTTGAAAAATCATGTTATGCACTCTATCTTGTGTTAACCTAATATAGGACTCTTTGGACAATTTTACAAAAATAATGTGACTTTTCGAAATTACAGAAATACAATAATTATGGTGTTACATGCACTGTATCTCGTGCTAACCTAATTAATGGACTCTTTAAACAGTTTAATTTTTGGGTGACTTTTTCAAAAATTACAGAAATATTACAATGCTAAACGAAAGAGCAGTTTTATGCATATTTTATTGGAACAAACATAGGATTTTCACCAAGGGAATTCATAAAATAAAAAAATAAAAAGAAATAAACACGCTAAAAAGTGAATGCTATTCCACATTTAACATATATACAAAAAAAGAATTTTAACCTTATATTTATAGTATAATTTCTCAGTCACGATGAAATAGTGCAATAAACGCCTCAACTTTAAGGCATTACAAAGAAATCCTATCTCGTAAAAACTGAAAAGAGAGTCTAAACCTGATATATGGTCAAATCCATATATAAAAGCAAAGTCATGCAAGGCCTGCATTTAAACTTTATGAATTATGACTTTTAGGATAGTCACATCAGGTGTTAGTTGAGTTCTGAATATGATTTTTGTATGTATATAGTTGATTTCTTAATACAAATTAGAATTTAGATTAAAGCTAATGAGTTTGCGATAACCGCATAGTTTGGTCCCTGCATATGGGTTGTTTAAAATGCGATACCTAGAAAGAAAGCTGAGGCTCAAGTTTTCTTGATTGTTTAAACCATAGCGTATATTTATAAAATTAAAAAATAATTGACCTAAATAAACACAAATTCTTAAACTAAAAATAGTTGATAGATATGTAATATATGTATAATTCTTTAATAATATGTATAATCTATGTATACTGGCTAAGAAAAGTAAATTATAAATTCGATCGGCTACTTGTGTAAGATCCCTTAAAAAACAAAAGGCAAGTATATAGTAGTTAGATCCATATTTTCATAAATACTTTGTATTCAGTCAAACTACATTACATAAAATGGAACGGTAGACGTAACAAGTTTTAAAGTCGATATCTTGTAAAAAGATTAATTAATCATGAAATTAGAAACTCCTAATGAAGATGAACCATGGTTAAGGTGGCTATTTTGTTAGCGATCGAAGAGCCGAAGAGGATCCTTATTGATAGAGATAGGAAGAAAATATGAATTTTAATTATTTGACTTTCTTGGTCAATTTAAAAGCAAAGATTTAATTATTTGACTTTCATGGCCAATTTAAAGTGTCATATCTATTTGTTTAATTTCCTTTCCCTAATATCTATTAGGCCGTATGCCTATTGTGTGAGGGAGAGGATTGTAAATTGATCATATTTCAACCAAAAAATAATGTCCTTTCAAGATTTGCAAAATATGATCTGAATCTTAATTTGTTAACTATAATCTCTTTGTCCAAGTCTTTTGTTCTTGTCTGAAATTGTTGCACTTTAATTTAACATATTTGTTTAAGACATTAGGATCTAGCTACTTGTGCAGCAAGACATTAGGCTTTAACATAATTACAAATAATAATTTAAATGAAGAACTTAAGACTCGTGTTGATGCTAAATCGACCCTATATACCTAGGGCGGGGGAACTATAATCTCATTAGTCTAAGACCCCAATTGGCGGGCAAGCGTCGTGTATTGCACATATGACCGGGATGAATTATATAAGTTGGTTCGTTCGATGTGAAAAGAATACTAGGTGCAGATCACGTGAATTTGAGACGTGACATTGTCATTTTCTTTAGGTTGCCCTATTCTCAACTTATGAACATATAGAGAAAGATGCTTCTTAATTTAAAGTACAAAAGATAAACTTGGAAAAACTAATGAAAAGTTAACAAAGAGCCATTTCTTATTATATTTTGCACATCCTTAAAAGGACCTTATTTTGTGGCTGAAATGGGATCCATTTACCATCCTCTCTAACACAATAGGTGTAACGACTTGACCAGTTGTTTTGAGATATATCGTGTAACGACCCGACCGGTCCTTTTGAGTTATAGCGCGTCGTTCAGCAATTTGAGGCCATGAGCAGCTTCACTTCAGGTATTATGACTTGTACGCACGGTCGGATTTGAATTTCGGGAAGTTCGGAGTTGATTTGGAAAGAGGATTCTCATTTTCGGAAGCTTTAAGTTGAAAGAATTGACTTAAATTGGATTTTTAAGTAAATGACCTCGGAATTGGGATTCGAAGGTTCCAGCAGGTTTGTATGATGATTTCGGACTTGGGCGTATGTCCGGATCGGGTTTTGGAATACCCGAGAACGTTTCGGCACCTATTGTGGAAGTTAGCCTTTTTGGAAGAATTTCATCAGTTTGGGTTGAAGTGCATTTCAGTGTTATCAACGGCTGTTTGGGATTCCGAGTCTAGGAATAGCTCCGTATGGTGATTCTGGTGTTGGTAGCACGATTGGAAATGAATTCGGAGGTCCGTGGGTCATTTTGGAGTCATTTGGCTAAAGTTAGAAATTTGAAGGATTTAGAGGAGTTTGACCGGAAGTGGACTTTTTGATATCGGGGTCGGATTCTGATTCCGATTCTGGAAGTTGGAGTAGGTCCGTAATGTCAAATATGACTTGTGTGCAAAATTTGAGGTCAATCGAACGTGATTTGATAGGTTTCGGCATCGAATGAAGAAGTTTGAAATTCTACAGTTCATTAAGCTTGGATTGGAGGTCGATTCATGATTTTAGCGTTGTTTGATATGATCTGAGGCCTCGGCAAGTCCGTAATATGTTTTGGGACTGGTTGGTACGATTGGTTGGGGTCCCGGGGGCCTCGGATGAATTCCGAATGGTTAACGGATCGATTGGGACTTGAAGGATGAGCTGAAGAGGGGTTTGGTTGCTGGTGTAACCGCTTCTGCGGAGGGTTCACCGCAGAAGCGAGGAAGGGAAACGCAGAAGCTGTTAGAAGTGAAGGAGTCAGAGGCCGCAGGTGCGAAGGAAATTCCGCACCTGCGTGGTCGCAGATGCGGTCGGTGCGGCGTAGAAGTGGGCTGGGGCAGCTGGAGGAGGACCGCATAAGCGGTATTGGAACCGCACCTGCGGAACCGCAGAAGCTGTCAAGTGACCGCAGGTGCGGAAATGCTGGAGGCATAGAGTTCTTTTAAATTGGGGGTTGGGTTCATTCCAACCCCATTTCATCCATTGGAGCCGATATTGGAGCAACTTTGAGTACCATTTTCACCACCAAACATGAGGTAAGTGGATTCTACTAATTATGAGTTAATACTTGGATTATATACGGATTTGAGCATGAAAATTTGGTAGAAATTGTGGGTTTTTGGTAGGAGACCTAGGAATTTATATTTTGGATTTTTACCACGATTTTGGGCATGGAATTAAGAGAAAATCATATATTTGAGTTCGTGAGTTCATGGGTAAGCTTTATCTTCGAAAAATTTCGGAATCCGGGCACGTGGGTCCGAGGGCGTTTTTGCCAACTTTTCGATCGGAGTTAGGAATTATTTTAAATTGGATTATTATGAGTAGTTGATCATATATTAATGGATTTGCATAAGTGTTGGCTAGTTTTGGAGCGTTGTGCATCAATTTGTGTCCTCGGAATGGCGTGGAATGCCGGTTATGGAACTTCGAGCGAGGTGAGTCTCCTTTCTAACCTTGTAAGAGGGAATTGTCCCCATATGTGAGTTAATTGGTTATGTGCTCCTATTTGTGGGGGCTACGTACGCACGAAGTGACGAGAGTCCGTGCGTAGCTACTATTATGCTTATGTCCGAGTAGTCTAGGACCCAAAAGCATGCTTACTTGTAATAAACGCAACCTTGTTGACAAATTTAAGAATGCTTAAAACATATCGAACGTGCAAATGAATTTCTAAAAGACTAGATATCATTAATTGACCTTTAAAGAGAAACTTGCCTTTTCTTGAATAATTGCTCCTCGATGAATTATTGATTTGACTGTTGAATGTGTTTATCTATTGCGGAACGGGCCGAACGCCTCGGTAGATTAAATAGATGCATCTATGGTTCACGCCATTCGACCCTCTGGCAGTGCACAGTTTAAATATGTTGGATCGGGCCGTACGTCCTCGGCATGATTTGCGCATACTTGTATTGCTTGCCTTGAAATTTATTAAAGTGATATTGTTTCTTCCCGCTTGAGAATAAATGTATAAATGATGAAAAAAATTTTGGGAATTTCCTATAAAAGAAAGAATTGCTTACTTGCTTCCTTCTATTGAATTACAATCATGTTTATAAAAATTCTCGATTAATTATATTATTGTCATATTATAATAT